TTTTTTTTTTTTTTTGGAGTTTTTGGCTGGGGCTGGGTTTGAAACCACCACCTCCAGCATATGGGGCCGGTGCCTTACACCTCTGAGACACAGGTGCTACCCCAAGTTCTGGTGCTTTTTACTTCTTCTGTATTCCTTTCTAACTTCTAATAAAAATCGTATCTTACCACTGATCTGTGGTCCCTGGGTTCATTCTTTGAATCCCTGACACCAAGGACATACTGAAGAGCAAAATTCTGGTATCAGAATGGTTGGTCTTTAGAATGAATCTTACAAAAATTAGAGGGGAGGTGGGATGGAGATGGGTGTGCTCTCACCTAAGAGGCACAATGTAAAAGTATATGGCTCACCTCCCAACACGGACTTGAACACACAAATACAAACCATGTAACTTAAACATTTCTACCTTCATATTAATCTGAAATTTACAAAGAAAGAGGAGATGCAAAAATAGAACAAGTGATAAGTATTTTTGTTAGCTACTTGCCCCACAAAAGCCCCTTCCTGCTTTACAGACAGTGGGCTGCTTACCTCATCTCCCTGTCTCAATTACCTGCTGAAAATTTCAAACTTATGACCTGCCCCTAACAGCTCTTCCCACCAGAGCAGTAACTCCTTATTGACTATCCTACCACCGTCACCATTCTGAGACCTCCCCTAAGCGAACCTCTATAAGATGCACTTCTCTTTTAATCTCTCTTCTACCTTCTCTCCTCCTTGGTGCTGCTCTGCAGCATCCCTCCCCCGCCAATAAAGACCTTTCCTACAAGCCTTGGTGGTCTGTGAGATCTCTGCCGGTCGAGTACCACCCTTTCAATTTTTGATTACTTAAATATCTATTTTGGAGTCAGTGTCTCGCTCTATTGCCCCAGACTGGATTGCAGGAATGTCATAATTCACAGCACCATCGAACTCCTGGGCTCAACCAATCCTCATGGCTCAGCCTCCCAAGTAGCTGGGACTACAGCCGCCCCCAACAGCACTGGCTAATTTTTGTATTCTTAGCAGAGACAGGGTCTTGCTCTTGCTCAGGCTGATCTCCAACTTCTGAGCTAATACAATCCACCCACCTCAGCCTCCCAGAGAGATAGGATGGTAGACATGAGCCTTGACACTCGGCCTCTTTGAATATATGAAAACATCATTTTCATTTCTCAAAAAGTATATATGCATATCTGTATATAGATATGTACATAGAAACACACACACACACATAAATTCATCGGTTTTCAGGAAGGACTAAATTCTCTCAGCCTGCCTCCATTCTCTTGCCTCCAGCTCCCCCATCTTCATCGATTTCTGTTTTCACAAACCATTAATAAACTCAACAAACCAAAAGAAAATGGAAATTCTTTTTCTTTACATTTTCTGAGCTATTCTGTCTTTTAGTACTTGCTCCTTTACGCTTCCAGTGATTCCTGAGTGTCCCACGTGGAACAACAGAATATGAACAATCACTGCTAAGGATGGAAAATACCTAGAAAAATGTTTGTCTTCAACCTTTGCTGAGGAAAAATGGACACACCATTCACAGTCACAACACGTTCTGAAATCAGCTACATTAACTTTCCCCTCAGCTTAAATCCAGACGCCCATCTGACCTCAGCCTGGGCACCTTCCTTGCTTTCTTTGGGATGCTACACTTTGTCTTCTGCTTAGTCTCTTTCCACTCCTATCTTCTCCTCACTCACAACCAGCTCTCTGCTCTTTCTAATGACTTCCACCCACTCTCTAATATAAAGTAACCTTACACTTCTGTATACTAATCTTGGCCTAAAGAAAGTCTTCTGTCACCCTATGTGCAGGACCCACTGAGCAACTGAGCTTTTTCACATCTCACATCTGGTGAGAAGAAGATGGAGTCAGCCCGGCTAAAGCCTAGAAGACACAGCTAGTCTGACTTTGTGCCTGTGGCTCAGGTGGCTAAGGCAACAGCCACATACACCTAAGGTGGCAGGTTCGAATCCAGCCAGGGCCCACCAAACAACAATGATGGCTGCAACCAAAAAATAGCCGGGCGTTGTAGCCTGTGGTCCCAGCTACTTGGGAAGCGGAGGCAGTAGACTCGCTTGAGCCCAGGAGTTGGAGGTTGCTGTGAGCTGTGAGGCCACGGCATTCTACGCAGGGGAACAGCTTGAGGCTCTGTCTCAAAAGAAAAGAAAAAAAAGACACAGCTGGTCTGGTGGTTTTTGGTCCTTCCCACCTGTCTCTCATACTTATGGTTTTTTAATTTAGCTCCCACTCTAAAGATGTCCATCTTGAATAGTTGGGGATCTTAACTTTTGAACTGGAAATGTCATAAACTGTCACCACGCTGTGACATATTATTTAAAATAAGGTGCTAGCATGTGTAGCTCCTATAAGCTAAAGGCGAGCACTGCCGAGGCCCCAGGCCCCAGACCATGGCTATGTCAAGGGTGGCAGCTTCTCAGGCAGCTGGGAGAAGGCCAAAGGCTGGTGGTATTAGTACCCTCTGCAGTTGTACTCCTGGGCCTTTGTGGGCTTCCATGGCCCCTGTGCCCAGCTTGTCCATCCTACCCCTTCTCTCCCCTGCAACTCCAGCAACAAAGAGGTCAAAGAACAGGCTGCAATGCTGGGTGGCCTGCACCACACTACCAAGGAAGGCGGAATACAGGTATGGCCACCCAGGTAATGGGACGATCTTCTGGAGAAGAGGGCTGTTCACTGGCAGCAGCAGCATCGACATGCCATTGCCTAATGACCTGTATGATGCACACAACCTCTCCAAAGCTGAGAGGGTCACACCTCAGCTTATCATGCTGGCAAAGGAGGCTTTAACTAGGGAAGTAAATGGCAGCTTCTGAGATTACCTGGTTGGTGAAGACAGACGGCAGAACAAATGCATGTTGGGGATAACAACTTTTCAGACAGTGATGGAGAAAACTTGAGGAGTCTCCTCAAATAAAACGTAAACTCAATGGACTGGGAATATGGAACTGAGAAATTTGGAATTCAGTGTTGTTAAACCTCAGCCTGTATTTGAAGCACCACCTGCCCAGAAGTTTACAGCTCAAATAAAGATCTTCCTTCTGAAATACCAAGAGCAGAGGACAAATTCATGAACTTGAAATCAAACACTTTTGCTGTAAGCCATGCCAGTATGAAGCAAACCTGAAGAACAGTTTGTACAGCACATCAGAGTACACAGTGCCAAGAAATTTTTTGTTGAAAAAAGTGCAGAGAAGCAAGCAAAAGCCAGGGACTCTGACTCTTCCATTTCAGATGTGGGAGATTTGGCTTGGCAGCTGTACCTCAAAGGGCTGAGCTATAGGTTCAGCTCAGAACACCAGAGCTGGCAGGTTCAAATCTAACCCAGGCCTGCCAAACAACAATGACACCTACAACCAAAAAATAGCTGGGTATTGTGGCGGGCACCTGTCGTCCCAGCTACTTGGGAAACTGAGGCAAGAGAATCGCTTAAGACCAGCACTTGGAGGTTACTATTAGCTGTGACGCCACGGCACTCTACCCAGGGTGACAGCTTGAGGCTCTGTCTCAAAAAAAAAAAAAAAAAAGAAGTGGGAGATTTCTCTAACGGTCCCATTAACTGTGACCACTGTGGCTACAATACTAATAGATATGATCACTCTACTGCACATCTGAAACACCACCCCAGAGCTGGGGATAAAAGCGAGTCTATAAGTGCATCATCTGTACATACACAACAGTTAGTGAGTATCACTGGAGAAACCATTTTCCAAGGAAAATACATGTGTGGGGAATGTAACTATTTTTCAAACAGAAAAAACAATTACGTTCAGCATCTTAGAACTCATACAGGAGAACGCCCATATAAACATAAACTTTGTCCTTACTCAAGTTCTCAGAAGACTCCTCTAACTAGACATATGTGTACTCATTCAAATGAGAAGCCATTTAGATGTGACCAGTGCAGTTACGTGGCCTCTAATCAACATGATGTTACTCACCATCCAAGACAGGTTCACAATGGACCTAAACTTCTTAACTGCCCACACTGTGGCTACAAAACAGCAGACAGAAGCAACTTCAAAAAATACGTGAAGCTCCTTGTTAGCCCAAAGCAGTTCAATTGCCCTGTATTTGACTACTCAGCTTCCAAGAAGTGTTATCTACAGTATCGCTTCAAATCTAAGCCTATTTGTCCTAAAATAACAATGGATGTCTCAAAAGTGAAACTAAAGAAAACCAAAAAATGAGAGGTTGTACCACCAATGAAAAAACTGAAACAAGGCTTGGGCCCCTGTAGCAAGTGGTTACGGCCCCAGACACATAACACCAAGGCTGGCGGGGTCAAACCCTGGCCAAGGCCAGCTAAACAACTATGATAACTGCAACAAAAAAACAGCCAGGGATGATGCCTATGACTCAATGGGTAGCATACCAGCTCTTTCTTTCTTTCTTTCATTTATTTTTTGAAACAGAGCCTCAACTTGTTGCCCTGGGTAGAGTGCCGTAACGTCACAGCTCACAGCAACCTGCAACTCTTAGGCTTAAGTGATTCTTTTGCCTCAGCCTCCCAAGTAGCTGAGACTACAGGCACCCCCCACAACAGCCAGCCAGTTTTTGGTTGTAGTTTTCATTGTTTTTTGGCAGGCCCGGGCTGGATTCTAACCCGCCAGCTGTGGTGCATGTGGCTAGCACCCCAGCCGCTTGAGATACAGGCGCCAAGCCTACACTGGCCCTTTAAACCAAGGGTGGAGGTTTCGTACCCAGCCCCTGGGCAAACTGCAATAAAAAATGCTTGGGCATTGTGGCAGGCACTTGTAGTCCCAGCTACTCTGGAGGCTGAGGAAGGAGAATCGCCTAAGCCCAAGAGTTGGAGGTTGTTGTGAGCTGTGACTCCACAGCAGTCTATGGAGGATGACAAAAGTGAGACTCTGTCTCAAAAAAAAAAAAAAAAAAAAAAAAGCAGAGCTTTCTGGCAGGTGCCTGTGGTCCCAGCTACTTGGGAGGCTGAGGCAGGAGACTCTCTTGAGCTCAGGAAGTTGCTGTGAGCTGTAATGCCACAGCACTCTACCCAGGGGGACAGCTTGAGGCTCTGTTAAAAAAAAAAAAAAAAAAGAAAAGAAAAACCCGAAACAGAGCAGACAAAAGTAAAGGGGGCTGTGCTGGAAAGAAAAATGAGAAGTCTGTAAAAGTGGAGAATAGAGATGTTTCAAAATAGAAAAAACCTTGTAGTAGCATCTCAGTCACACAAGTGACTATTAGAACTCGCAAATTAGCAATAGAAAGTAAAGAGATGGATGGACCTACAGCAAGTAATTCCCAAAAGTTCCTTAAATCCAAGAAAAGCAAAAGGAAGATGGAAGCTGAAGCCGAATCCTTAAGTGATCCTGTGACTGATGAGGAGTCTGTGACAAAAAAGAAAAAGAAGGTAGAAAGAGAATCCAGAAGTAGTCAGGAAGCGTCAAAGGGTGACAACATAGTGGAGGAGAGTAAGAAGTAAAATGCCTGCATGAAAAAAAAAGTATAAGAACAAAACCCTAAAAAGTAAGTCAAGTAAAAGCAGCAGCAAGCCTGCTCAGAACAAGCCTGTTCAGAAAGGGCCTGGTCCTATGGAGGTTGTTGAGAAGGGGCCTGCTCAGATGGGGTCTAATCAGATGGAGTCTGCTGAGATGGGATCTGCTCAGATGGGTTCTGCTCAGAAAGGGTCTGCTCTGATGGGGCCTACTCAGATGGGGCCTGCTCCTCTGGAAGTTGTTGAGGAGGAGTGTGCTCAAGAGTAGCTGTGTCCTCCCATGGAGGCTGTTCAGGAGTCTGCTGAGCTGGGGCCTCCTCCTATGGAAGTGGTTCAGAAGAGAACTCAGGTGAACTGCTTCCAACCATAGAACCCCCTTTTCATGTGGAACCAATTCCTAAAAAATCTCCTCTCGGAAAAGATAACAAGGAAAAGTCTAATGTGCAGAGTGAAATGGCACGGAAGGAAAAAGTCCTTACTGAAGTTGGCTTAGTGCCTGTGAAAGACAGCCCAGCTGACTTCTAAAGGAAAGGATAAGGACACAGGGTATCTTACCATCATTACCAGCGCTGCTAAAGGAAAGCTTAAAAGAAGAGGCATCTGGCTTGGTGCCGGTAGCACAGTTGTTAGAGCGCTGGCTACACACACCTAGGCTGGCAGGTTCAAACCCAGCCCGGGCCAGCTAATCAACAATGACAACTGCAACTAAAAAAAAAAAAAAAAAAAAATAGCCCAGCATTGTGGTCAGTGCCTGTAGTCTCAGCTATCTGGGACACTGAGGCAAGAGAATCACTTAAGCCCAAGAGTCTGAGGTTGCTGTTAGCAGCGATACTACAGTACTCTACCGAGGGTGACATAGTGTAACTTCATCTCAAAAAAAAAAAAGTAATTTGGCTTAGCACCTGTAGATCAATGAATAGGGTACCAGCCACATACACCAAAGCTGGTGGTTTCCAGCCCAGCCTGAGCCTGCTAAACAACGATGAAAACTACAACAAAAAGAAAAAAAAAATAGCTGGTTTCATGGCCAGTAGTGCCTTTAATCCCAACTGCTTGGGAGGGTGAGGCAGGAGAATCGCTTGAGCCCAAGAGTTTGAGGTTGCTGTGCTGTGAGCTGTGACACCACCATACTCTACCAGGGGCGATATAGTGAAACTGTCTCAAAAAAAAAAAAAAGGTATCAAAAGACCAAAAATCACTCTCTGATGGTTAAGGGAACAAAGAAGCCCCTCTTCAGAGAGCAGGAGCAGAGGAGGCAGATGCCAGCCCAGCTGTTCATGGTGCTTATACCAAGGAATCCACCACTATTTCATCCTCTGGACAAAACATGAATATAACAGAGGGTGAGAGTTTAGATGGTAAATGTCAGACTGACAATATTCCTTCTGAAATAGAAATGGACACTGATCAGACACAACAGAGAATCTCCCTGGCAAAGACTCAGCAGTTGAAGACCCAGTTTCACCGTTGCTCCCTGCCCCGCCAATGGAAGAAAGTGAAGTAGTGTCCAAAGCTACTCTGACATCACCTCCTATTACCACGGCAGTAAATGAGTGTCAGGAAATTGATGAAGATGAAGGCACACACAGCCATGATGGAAGCAAGCTAACACCATATCAGAGGGTAGCGATGATTCAGGATTGCATGGGGCTCGGCCAGCTCCACAGAAACTACTAGGAAAAAAGCAAAGGAACGTTTGTCTGTAGCATCCAAAGGAGACTTTGTATCTTCTGTGATCCTTCTTTCAGATAGAAAGATTTCAGCAAGCACCTCCATTGCCATTTGGTTAATATGTGCTATCTGGAAAAAATGGCTCAAGGACAGGAGTAATGAACATTTGTAAGGCCTATTACATTTTATATATCCATTTATAATAGCAGATAGCCTTTTAAGATTTGGGGTTTTTTTTTTTAGAGGCAGTCTCATTTTATCACTCTCGGTGGTGTCACAGGTCACAGCAACCTCCAGCTCCTGGGCTTAGGCGAATCTCTTGCCTCAGCCTTCCAAGTAGCTGGGACCACAGGCTCCCACCACAACGTCTGGCTATTTTCTTCTGTTGCAGTTTGGCCTGGGCCGGATTAAACCTGCCACCTTCAGTATATGGGCCTGCCACCCTGCCCACTGACCCACAGGCACCATCCTTAATATTGGTTTAATTAGTGAACAATGTTGATTTTTTTTTTTTT